TATAATATTCTGTATCTCATATTTTGGAAGGCAACAAACAAAACAGGATTAGTCAGCGTGGTAACCAATGCATTGCATGGTAGAACGAAAAGAATGTAGATGAGCCTTGGGTTTACCTCCCATGTCTTTTTTTTTCTCTGGGACATTTTTTTTTTTTTTTTAGTTTTTCGAAAATTAAATCTTCTATCTATTGATTAGAAATACATGTGTTGCATTTAATAGAAATCCCAATGTTTGATAGGATTCAGTGTACCATGGGTATCTCTGGACCCACTTTATTTTAATTTGATTGATCTGCTTCTGTTATGTCTCAAAGTAAATGTGGCGGTCAGGCTTGTTCGATCGCCAGTAGCCAGACAGCTGAGTTGGTAAAAGACCTGCCTTGAGATTCGGAAGGCCTGGATTCGGATCCGGTATGGTTCGTTGCATTTTTCTCCTCTCCCGTTACATATCATAAGGCAAACTATAGAAAACGATATATAGGGAGTGAGAAGCAAATGTCATGTTAAATACCGACTTTACAATGAGTTACAAACTATGCTCGAGTATTTGGACCTCTCGATTTTAATTAAACTTAACTTTGTTTAATTTCAACAAACCCTCCTCCTAAGTGTATATTCTCTTAACCTAGGGTTTTCACTGAAGACTTTAAAACTAATGATATTATTTACTAAATCTTGATTGATCATGATCTACAAATCATTTCCGCCATTGAATTTCATATTTAAGAAATATACAGTGCTGTTTAGTACTGTAGATTCCTAAATATACGCGAGGAATTAATTATCGCGTAATTACGCGAGACGCACCACTCGCAAAATAAAATTTCTCGCTTTTATTTTCATGGTGATGAAATCAATGTAAAATTCCTTGATCAACCGTCCACTCGCGAATTATTGTTCTCGCGATTTGACGTGAAAGAGCCATTTCGCAATAATAAGTACTCGCGAAAAATAAGGAATCTACAGTAATAAAATTCTCTGCACAGATTAAAGTAAAAGAAAACAATGTCGTGCGAACGAGATATCTCGTGCAAACGACATAGTAATTTCAATCGTTAAAAGTAAAAACAAAAAAAAAATTCCTGTTCGAAATATTCTCCACTAAGGTCATTAAAAAAACATGTCTCTTCTTACCAAACTTACGAGGGGTCAGTTATTTTTGGAAGGGGGGGGGGTGAAACATGCAAGGATTCTAAAATCATTTTTCGTTACTTTACTTTGAAATTTAATAACTCTAGTATATCTAGAGAGGCATGCCAAACAACCTTCTTATTGAACTATGTAGCTCATGCTGCTGCGAAAGTATTAACTCGTTTGATTTTAAATATATTAAAAATTCATTTCATATTTTGTTTCCGTTTTCCATTCCGTTTTCCGATCCGCGTTTTAGCAACAACCCACTACGATGTTATCTCCCTTATCAAAAAGTTACTTCGTTGTCAAAGTAAACAAGCTTCTGTTCGATTTTCCTTCGTAAATCGACAAAATGAGTCACAACATTATTGTGTTGAGTGCCAGTACATTTCCCTGTTAACAACGACAAGTGAAAGGAGTAAATTTATCTGATGAGACAGTAAAGTTAAAGGGAAGACAAATTTGTCCAAATATTTAGAAAAAAAAAATGTTCGTTTGTGTTGTTGGGGAGGGGTTGGGAAGGCACCCCTTCTACCACCCACCCTCTTTAGATCTATGTTATGTACGTTTAACAAAAAAAAAAAACAATCTGTCTAGTGTATACTTAATTATGAAATTACCCAAATCATAACTTCTGAAGAAGGTGTATCATAAAATAGTGATGTATTGCATTGCATGAAAACAACAAATGGCCTTTATTAAAGTCATATATGGCGTATTTTTTATAAGTTCAGACTAACTAAAATTAAAACAATCTTTCTATTTGTTTTATTACTATATATTAAGATTATATATATATATATATATATATATATATATATATATATATATATATATATATATATATATATATATATATATATATATATATACTCACTCGCTCATTGAACTCGATTGCTTCATCAGAAATTGTAGGCATTGTTTGCTTAATAAATATTTTTGAAGAATGGATTATCGAGTCTTATATTTCTGAGCTGAAAAACTCTACGAAAAATTGTTATTGTTTTTTGTTTTCCTTTTTTGTTATAATATAAGCAATTCTATCAGATATATTGCAAGTGGATATAAAAATACCTGAATTTCATTAAATACCCTTAATTGATCTTCATCAAAAACTACTCGGAAATGCTATGCGAATTTTCATGTATTTAATTAGGAGAAATGTCATGTATTATCTTACTCCTTGAGAGTGAAAAATTCTAAAAAGCCTGTATAATTATTTGATAGCAGATTATAATATACTCCTTTGATTAGAAAAAAAGAATAATATGATGTTAAATGATGCTGGATTTAAGTAGCAACTTACTGAGAAAAATCTGCAAACATTTTTTTTTTTTTTTAATTATTATCATTATTATTTCCTGCACAGAAAACAACAATATCTTATTGTCATTTTGCATGAACACTGCTAGCTGAATTGTGTAGTTCTCTCTTTTTTTCTTTTCTTTTTGAGGGAAGAAGGCAAAAACTTGCAGGGTTCTTTGTAACGTGGCAAATACGGTAGCGATTAACTCCGTAAAAGAGCTGCATTCAATTCAGAAAACGAATTTAACAAGTTAATAAAGCTTTTTTTTTCAACTTTTTTTTCAACATTTGTTTGAGTTATTGGTGCGTAAGTCCAAGTGTCTTGTTACTTAAGTATATTTCTAAAAGCCCGCTGGATAAAGTGCATGGAACAAATACCATTGTTTAATAATGATATTTTAAATAGTGTTGTGGGGTAATATTATGCTATCTGAATGTTGTTCATGATCTTCAGATTTTTCTTGCCTTATCTGTTGTGTGTTTTCCAAGTCTACCAGCCTTGTCACTGAGACTACAATCACAAAAGCATTGTAAGTCAAATTAGATTTTTTTTTTTTTTTTTTTTTTTTTTTTTTTTTTTTTTTTGAAAAAAAAAAAAAAAAAAGAATGCGAACAAATGTTATTCTTAAATTATATGTAAGTCAATTCTCCCGAATGTGCTGAAAATAGATTTCAACAATTCCTGAAAAAAAAAAGTTTGGACATACGAATATTGTATCTCACTTATATCCTCTGCATTGTACATTCAATGAAGAAAAAAAAAAAAAAAAACTCTTTATGCATTTATTATTAATTGATGACCTGATACTTAAAGGAGGTAAAAATAACATTTTCGTTTAAAACTAAAAACCTTAATAATATGACATAGGAAAGAAACAAAGTGATTTCTGAAGGAATTCCAAATATTAATTCAGTTAATTATAATTCGAAAATAATAAAAGATTATAAAGAATATATATTTTAGATGTATTGGTTTCAGGCAATCATTGCAATCCTAATCCGTGTTTAAATGGCGGGACATGCGATAACTCCAAGTTACCCAAAGAGAAATTCATATGCATTTGTCCCAAAGGTTTTACTGGTGAAATATGTGCAAGTAAGCATGTTTTGTTTTTTGAAATATTATAAGATATGCTTTCACTTTTATCATAATCATTGTACAACTCTTGGGGGTGGGGTGAGGTTATAATAGAAGCTCGAAGTTTCTTAGGAAAATAGATGGAAAAACAAAGATCTTTCAAAATCTGATGAAATCCACAAGCATCATGAAAAAGAATTGAAAATTTTTACAAAAGTTGATTTAGAAGAAAAAAAAATCATCGAGGGATCATTCCAAGCCATTGAGCACCATTTTTTTTTTAAATTTTAAGCTTATTAATGAGTTATCAGAATAAAATTTGATTATTTTAAAATGTATATAAAGAAACATTTCTGTAAGTAGATATCAGCATGTTAGTTTGAAATACAAATGAGTTATTTAAAAAAAGTTTTGAATTCCTAAGAGATTTCTTTCTTTTTTTTAGACTTGTTTTAATCATATAATTTATCAGATTTTTGTTTCTTTAGTCAATGTATGTGACACGCATGATTGCCAGAATGGAAACTGTGAAGCAGACAAATGCAAAAAACGAGGTTACAAATGCAACTGTTTTCCTGGTTATGTCGGTGAAGATTGTGAAGGTAAACTGTGAAATTGTTTAAAAGGCTCTTACAAACCATTCTTCAAAGATATACTTTTAATCATATCAATAATATATGAATCAAGTTTATATTTCTATTTCTCTAAGACCAAATAAGCTCTATAGATTATTTATTGAAAAAATAAACAAAATTCAATTTTGAGTTTTAGTCGATGTATATGACTAATTGTCCGAATTCAGGTAGCTGTACGGCAGACAAGGATTATGTTCTTACGAACGTACAAATAAAACCTACCATTTTAACTGATTCTTACATCTTGCTTACTTAGTACTGCAAAAAGAAAATGCTCTTTTGAAACATTCTTTCATATTTTTTGATTCTAATTTTATACTCTTTCATAGTTAATGAAACGAGAGAATAATTTGCAAAAAATAATTTTATTTAATTTGTATATGTAACGTGGCTAAATAATTCAGTATACAAGTTAAGATATAAAGTGTTCATTGTATTGTACATAAAAAACATTGTGACAACTTCTGGCTATTCACATCCGCCCAAAACATCTAAATAATTTACCAAAAATATCGAACACACACAAAAAAAAAACACCTTAAGAAACACTAAACACTAAACACTAAGTTAGAAAAGTGAATGTAAGCCAAGGTTATATATAGGTCAATCGATAAACGAGAATACTTAAAATACACGCTAGATATAAATTAAAAAATACAAAATATACATACCACAGTCTGCTATCAGTGTCTTTGTTATACATATGGTATTGCACGTTGCATACTGCAAATATACTACTCATGCAGTAAAACTCAGCTGCATGATACATACAAGGTAGCTCACCCGGGAATGTCCTAGTGAAGGTAAATCACGAGACTTTTGCAAAGCTATGATCTATGGGTAGTTATGGGTACAGATACCAAAGGACCGTAAAGCTAGCCTGATATACAAGCACAGTATAATTATTTCCAGGGCAACAGACAAGGTTACATAAGGTCTTACTGCTGTGTAACAGTTTTTATCTTGTATAAAAGCGAAGATAAACTCTAACGGGGCTCTGGAGGCCTTCCTTTGAACGTCTAAAAGATTGAAAAATAATTATTTACATGTATAAATCATTCCTGTTTCCTCGTTGACTGTGTTAGCTTTGTAATTTAATATATTTTAAAACAAAATTTCGTTGTTATTTTTTTATAGTTGATGTATGTGACAGCAGTGATTGTGAAAATGGGACCTGTGTGCCAGACCAGTCAAGTAGTCGAGGTTACACGTGCAACTGTGCTGCTGGTTTTGTCGGGGAAAATTGTGACGGTGAACTAGCTAGTTTTTACTTAAGCATTGAATCATTAATTTTTGAAAGATGTTGTCTTATAACTGCATCTGTGTGTGCAACTAACTGAGTAACGCGCTATGAAAATTTGTTTGCACACATCGCTGCAGTTATGAGATTATATCTTTCAAAAATTAATAATTCAATGCGTATATTTACATTTTTAACTCCTTGCCTTCACTACAAATGTAATTTATATTTCAAATTTCTGTATTATACTTCTGGTAAATTACAGTTAATCTAAGAGTCATTGCAACAGCTTCTGTTCAATGTGAGCGTTAGTTTGATTTTCGCTTATGACATTGCACTTGCGCGGCGTCAAACGTAAGTGACGTCAAAATAAAATACATACTTTAAACTTTTGTCCCGTTGTCCCTGTTATGGTGTTTTGAATGCCGTCACTTTCCACACACTTTATATGCAAAATAAGGAATGTAAATATAGTACACGAGTGTTCTAAGCATTTTTTGTGGCATTCACAATTATTGTTGTTATTGATCAAGTTAATCACTATGATGTTAGACAATGTAAGCTCTATAAAAGATTTGTATAAAAAGCTAGAGGACAACTGAGATAATATATTTCTGTTTTGATAACGCACTGCCAAGTAATATCTTTATGTAGACTTTTTTGAATGAATATATAAAAATGCGTGCAATAAACATCTAGAAGTGACGATTTATTAAGACTGAAACTAAATTGAACTTGTCATGCTTACACCAGTCAACAATTTACCTTGTGCATGTCAAAATCGAGGAAATATTGTACTACTTAGAAGTCCTTGGATTTCAATGTTTCCTTTAGTAGATGAAAGTGACAAGCATGATTTTTCAACCGAGATACAAGTAACCTAGATCTGTTGGGATTGGGAGGTTATACGAGTAACTATATGACTGGTTATATTTCAGATATTTGTGAAAATTGTTCTTTATCAGAGCTCTAATGAAAAACAAAATTCTTAATTTGTTTCTATAGTTGATGTTTGTGACAGCAGTGATTGTGAAAATGGAACCTGTGAAGTAGACCAGTCCATTAGTCGAGGTTACACGTGCAACTGTACCGTTGGTTTTGTCGGGGAAAACTGTGACGGTTAGTACCTAGTTTTAACAGTACAACAGGGTTCTTTCGAATCGTTTTGTAACATTCAGAATTATTGTTTATGAATACAATATTAAGTTCGTCATCATGATGTTGGCAATGTAGATCTATAAGAGATCTGTGTAAAAAGCTCCTCGGCTAAGATAAGACTGTCCGACGAATATCACAGTGCAACAGCCGTAGTAACTTCTCTGAACTTACTAGATATGACGTCATAGTAGCATTTGACGTCCAGTCACTACAAACTTGAGCTGTCATAATTGGGAAAGTGTCATAAATTTTACATTCCTGTAACATTACATGTAGATTTCTTTTACGTTGATATTTAATTCAGGTGTCTGGATTGTTGTTTTAAGCTTCATTGTGCTGTTATGATAGTGAACACTTGCAATATATTATCGTCATACCTTTCTCCTGTCTGATATGCAAGTATCCAAACAATAACAAAAAAATGAATGTGAAATGCTCCCCCTTACATGTCTTTAGACAGAGTTAGAATTTATGAACCGTACATAGATCAGATTCGCACAAGTGATTAATAAGGATAAATTGAAAATCTTCTGTGTGAATCTACTACAGAAGTATGTTCTCTTACTGAATTTAGCTTGGAAATTGTATGTAATTTATTCTACTTTGTATAAATTGTTCTGAGAAGTGGAAATCCCCCTTTATGTGGGTAAGTTGAATTTCTCGTGAGATATTTTCTTAAGAAATCAAATTCAGACTTGCCCCCAGCACTTTACTGTACCCAAGAAAAAGTTAAATTGGCTTATGTAACAAAAAGTTCACAATAATTTGTTTTTCACTTGTGCCGATGCGATTTTTATACAACATTTAGGAAAACTTATTTGTCCATCACGTGATCAACACAACCATGTGACATCACACAATTGCTTTTTTTTTTATACCTTATTAAACTCTCATCACAAATTGACTGTACATGTATACATAGATTACAAATTAAAATCAAAACATAGCTCAAACTACAATGGTATAATTCTAATGCATATTAAGCCTTCGGACAGCCTTAGCATAGCTGCATCTAGGGTATATGAGAGAGTATACTTCTGTTTTGATAACGCACTACCAAGTTATACTTTGATGTAGATTTTACTGAATAAATATATAAAAATACGTGTAATAGACAATGTTTATCAAATTCTAAAAATGACGATTTATAAAAACTAAAACTAAAAAAGAAAAAAAAAAAGAAAAAAAAAATACATTGAACTTATCATGGTTATACCGTTCCTCAATTTACCTTGTGCATGTTAAAATTGAGAAACTTTTGTACTTCTACTTAAGATTTCTCAAATTTCAATATTTCTCTCCTAAAGTAGATGTATTTTACAATCATGATTGTTCAAGCAAAAAACACGTAGAGTAGACCAGTTTGGTGTGGGAGGTTACAGGAGTAACTATGCCACTGGTTATATCGCAGATATTTGTGAAAATTGTTCTTCATCAGAGCTATTAAAAAAACAAATTTTCTAATATTTTTTTTAATAGTTGATGTATGTGACAGCAATGATTGTAGAAATGGAACCTGTGTGCCAGACCAGTCCAGAAGTCGAGGTTACACATGCAACTGTACCGCTGGTATTGTCGGAGAAAATTGTGACGGTGAGTACCTATTTCTTACAGTGCATTTGGGATCATTTGAAACTTCGGTAACATTCAAAATGATTGCTTAACAAAGCAGTACGAATCAGTAAGGTATCATAAAATATTCTCTGTTAATTTCTATAGTCGGTGTATGTGACAGCAATAATTGTACGAATGGAACCTGTGTACCAGATCAGTCCAGTAGTCGAGGATACGCGTGCAACTGTTCCGCTGGTTTTGTCGGGGAAAATTGTGACGGTGAACTAGCTAGTTTTTACTTAAGCATTGAATCATTAATTTTTGAAAGATGTTGTCTCATAATTGCATCTGTGTGTGCAAACTAACTGAGTAACGCGCTATGAAAATTTGTTTACACACATCGTTGCAGTTATAAGATTACATCTTTCAAAAATTAATGATTCAATGCGTATATTTACATTTTTAACTCCTTGCCTTCACTACAAATGTAATTTATATTTCAAATTTCTGTATTATACTTCTGGTAAGTTACAGTTAATCTAAGAGTCATTGCAACAGCTTCTGTTCAATGTGAGCGTTAATTTGATTTTCGCTTATGACATTGCACTTGCGCGGCGTCAAACGTAAGTGACGTCAAAATAAAATACATACTTTAGCCTTTTGTTCCGTTGTCCGTGTTATGGTGTTTTGAATGCCGTCACTTTCCGCACACTTTATATGCAAAATAAATGTGGAATGTAATATAGTACAAAAGGGTTTTAAGAAATTTTTTGTGACATTCAGAATTATTGTTGTTATTGATCAAGTTAATCACTATGATGCTAGACAATTTAATCTCTATGAAAGATTTGAATGTGTAAAAAAGCTAGAGGACAACTGAGACAATATATTTCTGTTTTGATAATGCACTGCCAAGTAATATCTTTATGTAGACTTTTTTTGAATGAATATATAAAAATGCGTGCAATAAACATCTAGAAGTGACGATTTATTAAGACTGAAACTAAATTGAACTTGTCATGCTTACACCAGTCAACAATTTACCTTATGCATGTTAAAATCAAGGAAATATTGTACTACTTAGAAGTTCTTGGATTTCAATAGTTTCCTTTAGTAGATGTAAGTGACAAGCATGATTTTTCAACCGAGATACAAGTAACCTAGATCTGTTGGGATTGGGAGGTTATACGAGTAACTATATGACTGGTTATATTTCAGATATTTGTGAAAATTCTTCTTTATCGGACCTGTAATGAAAAACAAAATTCCTAATTTTTTCTATAGTTGATGTTTGTGACAGCAGTGATTGTGAAAATGGAACCTGTGAAGTAGACCAGTCCATTAGTCGAGGTTACACGTGCAACTGTACCGCTGGTTTTGTCGGGGAGAATTGTGACGGTAAGTACCTAGTTCTTACAGTACAATATGGTTCTCTCGAATCTTTTGTAACATTAAGAATTATTGTTTATCAATTCAATATGTATCAATTTCATCATTATGATGTTGGTAATGTAAGCTATAAGAGGTTTGTGTAAAAAACTCGAGGACGTTTGAGACAGTATACTTCTGTTTTGATAACACACTGCCAAGTAATATCTTGATGTGAACTTTTTTTTGAATGAATAATAATAAAAAAAAGTTGTAATAGACAATATTTATCTGATTTTAAAAGTGACGATTTATAAAGAAAGAAACTACATCGAACTTTTCATGAATATACTGCTCATCAATTTACCTTGTGCGTGCTAAATTCGAGGAAACATTGTACTGCTACTTAGAATTGCTCGGAATTCAATATTTGTTTCCTTTAGTAGATGTAAGTGACAAGCATGATTTTTCAATCGAGATACACGTAACCTAGATTTGTTTGGTTTCGGAGGTTACACGAGTTACTATATGACTGGTTATATCGCATATATGTGAAAATTGTTCTTTATCAGAGGTGTTAAAAAAAGCAAAATTTCTATTATTTTTCTTATAGTTGATTTATGTGACAGCAATGACTGTCAAAATGGAACCTGTGTACAAGACCAGTCCAGTAGTCGAGGTTACACGTGCAACTGTACCGCTGGTTTTGTCGGGGAAAATTGTGACGGTAAAATAGCTAGTTCTTACAGTACAGCAGGGTTTTATCGAATCTTTTGTATTATTCAAACTTATTGTTTATCAATACATCATTTAGCAAGTAAAACATCATGATGTTGGTAATGTAAGCCCTATAAGAGGTTTGTGTAAAAACTCGAGGACATCTCAGACAATATATTTCTGTTTTGATAATGCACTGCCAAGTAAAATGTTGATGTAGCCTTTTTTTGAACGATAATATAAAAATGCGTGCAATAATCATCTAGAAGTGAGGAATTATTGAGACTAAAACTAAATGGAACTTTTCATGCTGATACCAGTCACCAATTTACCTTGTGCATGCTTAAATCGAGGAAACATGATACTATTTAGAATTCCTTGGATTTCAATGTTTTCTTTAGTAGATGTAAGTGACAAGCATGATTTTTCAATCGAGATACACGTAGCCTAGATTTGTTCGGATTTTGAGGTTATACGAGTAACTATATGACTGGTTATATTGCAGATAAGTAAAAATTTTCTTTATCAGAGCTGTTAAAAAAACAAAATTCCTATTATTTTTTATAGTTGATGTATGTGGCAGCAATGATTGTAGAAATGGAACCTGTGTGCCAGACCAGTCCATTAGTCGAGGTTACACATGCAACTGTACCGCTGGTTTTGTCGGAGAAAATTGTGACGGTGAGTACCTACTTCTTTCAGTACAAAAGGTCCTTTTGAACCTTCGCTAACATTCAAAATGATTGTTTAACAAAACAGTATGATTCAGTAAAGTATCATAAAAAATTCTCTGTTAATTTCTATAGTCGGTGCATGTGACAGCAATAATTGTACGAATGGAACCTGTGTACCAGATCAGTCCAGTAGTCGAGGATACACGTGCAACTGTACTGCTGGTTTTGTCGGGGAAAATTGTGACGGTGAACTAGCTAGTTCTTTCAGTATAAGAGGGCTCTATCGAATCTGTTGTAGGATTAAGAATTATTATGTTTTGTTTGTTTGTTTGTTGTTTAACGTCCCTCTCGAGAATTTTTCACTCATATGGAGACGCCACCACTTGCCGGTGGAGAGCTGCAAATTTTGTCCTATACTCGGCATTTAAGGCCATTGAGCAGTGAGAGATCTTCTCCATGCCAGCAACTACTGCGACACGGGACCTCGGTTTATACGGTCTCATCCGAAGGACCGGTCTCCACGTCCCACAGTGGGAGTCGAACCCGCGACGTAAGGATCAACTCTTTACTCCGCGACTCTAGAGCAGACGCTCTAACCACTATGCCACGCGGGCGACAAGAATTATTATGTATCAAATTAATCATATGTATCAAGTTAATCATTATGATGTTGGCAATATTAGCCCAATAAAGGGTTTGTGTAAAAAGCTCGGGGATATTTCGAACAATATTTGTCTGTTTTGATATCTTGATGCAGACATTTTTGAATTAGTATATCAAAATAGGTGCAATAGACAACATTTTTTTTTAGATTCTAGAAATAACGATTTATAATGACAGAAACTAGATTGCATATATCATTCATGAATTTACCTTTCGCATGGTGGCGAGGTGGTTACAGCGTCTGCTGTAGAGTCGCGGAGTAAGGAGTTGATCCTTACGACGAGTTTTCAAATCTACTGTGTGACGTGAACACAAGTCCCTCAGATGAGACCGTATAAATCGAGGTCAAGTACCGTACAATGTAGTAGGTGTTGGCACAAAATAAGATCCCTCACCGCTTAATGGTCCAAACTTCCGAGCATGATTTAAACATTTGAAGAACCTCCATCGGAAAGCGCGGGTGCCTCCATCTGGATAAAAAATTCTCAAAAGGGACGTTAAACAACAAACAAAGAAATCTTTGGCATGCTAAAATTGAAGAATTATTCTTCTACTGCTTAGAATTCCTCAGATTTCAATATTGTGTCCTTTAGTAGATGTATGTGACAAGTATGATAGTTTAATCGAGATACATTTAAAGTAGACCAGTTCGGTGTAGGAGGTAACTAGATTCCTTATTTTACGTGAGTACTTGTTTTAGAGAAATTAAATAAATCACGAGAACATAAATCCGCGAGTTTATACATACTTCTCTGCAATATAAAATTAAAACAAATGATTTTATTTCGCGAATGTGCTTCTCATGAAATTACGCGATAAAAATTCCCCTATAACTAGGAATCAACATTCTTGTTTAAAGTCATCATTTCGTAAATTCTTTGGTCAATACAATGACCTTGTCAGTAATTAAAATCTATCATTATGTCAAAGCTGACTGGCGTTTTTCATACCAATTGTTGGGCCATTATTTACACACTGAATTGTCTCGATCATATAAGGAACACACGGCGGGTTTGACCGCTCGGCAGGGGATGCTCACTCCTCCATGGCACCTGATCCCACCTCTGATGTTTAAGAGGTCCGAGTTTGCTCTGCTCCTGATTTGTAATGTTGAAATGCACTTTTGAGCTTGATTGTTGTTCGTTGTCTCCATGTATTTTATCTACAGTACACAAGTAACTATGTCACTAGTTTATATCTCGGAAGTTTGTAATAATTGCTTTTTATCAGAGCTGTTTTATATATATATATATATATATATATATATATATATATATATATATATATATATATATATATATATATATAGATAGATAGATAGATAGATAGATAGATAGATAGATAGAGAGATACATAGAGAGATAGATAGATAAAACATATTTCCTATTTATTTTTTTTAAAGTTGATGTATGTGACGGCAATGTCTGTCAAAATGGAACCTGTGAAGTAGATCAGTCCAGTAATCGAGGTTACACGTGCAACTGTACCAATCCTTATATCGGGGAAAATTGTGATGGTAAGCTTTACAACAAGATTTTATCGTACATTTATTTACCTCCTAAAATTTTGTATATCAGTAGTTTGTAGACTATTTTTTTCTGAAAACACAGTATCCGGTTATGCTAATGAATTCATTTTGAGTACCAACTGTTTAAAAGTAACAAATTAGTAATAGAAGTGTATATTAGATAATTATGGTAAATATAAAGACAATTAAGCTCTTTATTCGTATAAGCAGATCTTTTTTTTTTTTTCTTTTTTCTTTTTTTTTTTTTTTTTTTTTTTTTTTTTTTTGTTTTTTGTATTCATATGAAGCAGATTTTGTCCAATGAAATATATGGAGATAACGAACAGTATTCAAGCTCAAAAGTCCATTATACAATACAAAATAGGAGCAGAGCAAACACGGACCTCCAAACATCGGAGGTGGGATCAGGTGCCATGGAGGAGTGAGCATCCCCTGCCGACCGGTCACACCCGCCGTGTGCTCCTTGTCATGATCGGGAAATAACGGAAAAATCCGTCGACAATTCAGTGTGTAAATAATGGCCTAACAATTAGTATGAAAAACGTCAGTCAGCATTTGACTCAATGATAAGTTGTATTTGCTGACAAGGTCATGTATCGACCAAAGAACTTACGAAATGATGACTTTAAACGAGACAGCTGATATTCTTGTTTCATCAACTTATTTGTCAATAATTTACCTCGTTTTAGAAATTGTACGTACGTAGAGCATGCTCTTGCGTATCGAATCAACTGAGAGATATATACCCCGTATGCAGGTGATCAAGGTATATTGCTGCATACGTCAATCATCAACTTCCCTTACTTATGCAGCAATATACCTTCATCACCTGTTTATATCTCTCAGTTGATTCGATACGCAAGAGCATGCTTTACATATGTACAATTTCTGAAATGGGGTAAATTATTGACAAGCAAGTTGATGAAACAAGAGTATCAGCAGTCTCGTTTAAAGTCATTATTTCTTAAGTTCTATGGTCGATACAATGACCTTGTCAGTAAATACAATTTATCATTGAGACAAATACTGACTGACGTTTTTCATACTAATTATTAGGCCATTATGTACATAAATTGTTGACGGATTTTACTTTTATTTCCCGATCTGGACAAGGAGCACACGGCGGATGTGAACGGTCGGCAGGGGATGCTCACTCCTCCATGATACCTGATCCCACCACTGATGTTTTGGAGGTCCGTGTTTACTCTGCTCTATTTTGTAATGTTTAATGGACTTTTGAGCTTGAGTGCTGTTCGTTATCTCCATATATTTCATTCATAAAAATATAGCATTTTGAACCATGAGAAAAAGCAAGTTTGTTTGTACTGACTTTGAAATTAAAGAAAATCTTCATTTCAAGTCCAATCAAAAGTCCGTTAAACAAAGAAAAAATAACCACATTTTCCTCTTTTGGAAATGAAATCAACAAGATGCAAACCTACCAACGAATCTGTAATATTATTATGAGGTGATATTATCTACTTTGCTAATGTCCAAAAGGTAGCTTAACCCTATCCATCAATTTTATTTTATGATCTATAAAAATAAATAACCAAAGCAAAACATTAACAGGTAAAGTTCATTTTATCATCTGAGCACTGAAATAAATGCTATTTTCATTCTGAGGTAACTACAACAAAATAAAAAAAATGTAATAATTAAAAAAAAAAAAAAAAAAAAAAAAAAAAAAAAAAAAAAAACTAATTAAAAAAAATAAATAAACAAAAATTTAAAACAATAAAAAATGCTCGCAACACGGAATATCATTACAGTTCAAGACAGTCACTGTAGCTCATTAGGTAGAGCGCTCACTCTGTGATTGGAGCTCGTGGATTCGAGCCCCGGCCGCGACTGACCTAAGTCGATAAAAATATAGATAGCAACAGTTCCTTCGCCAAGCGTTCAGCACTTTGAAGTAAAAGTCCTTCGAATGAAATCTTAAAAACCGAGGCCCGTGTCACAACAGGCTTTAGCACGATAAAGATTTCTCACTGCTTAGTGGCCCTGAGTGCCGAGTAAAGGTCTAAATTTGAAGCTCGTCACCAGTATATGGTGAAAAAAATTTTCGAACGGGACGTAAAACAACATTCAATCAATCAACCAATCAATATTACAGTTCAAAAGGCAACCTCAAAAGGCAACTTGCAAACACATATCCAAGGATGCCCATATAGGCTCTCTCAAAAATAATTTTGAATTCAATAAAACAAAATGTCAAATTTGTAACAACAAATTTAATACGTTATATCAATTTTTGGAATTCTTTATAACAAATTTCTTTTGTTATTGAAAATTAGTTGAAGTCGCTATAACGACTTCAAAACATTGTTAGAAAGAATTCAACTCGTTAAATTTATTTAATAAATTGGTTATAAAAAGAATAGAAAAGAAAAGAAAGGTCCGAAATGTTGAATTCCGTTTAAGGAATTCATATCGTTATAACAAACGCTAGAATTTCCTGAAATTGATTCAATTCGTATACACATACACATATAGAAATACACATTTTGGAATTTATAAGCGCATTTAATCTGTTTTTTTTTTTTTTTTTTTTGTTTTTTTTTTTTTTTTATAACAAAATTCACAAATCTGTTATAACAAATTGATTCTTTATAATGAATAAGAAATGTTTCACGAATATAATTCGACAATATCATACTGAATTTGATAACATTATGACAGGTCTTAAATGGGCTTCCGTACATCTCCTACTTACCATCAGTGTATCTATCTCATTGGACTTCATCTTGTTCTAATAAATAGTCCTTATGTTTCAAAATGCATTCCTATTTTTTTTTTTTTTTTTTTTTTTTTTTTTTTTTTTTTTTTTTTTTTTTTGGTTTCTTTCAGGTCTCCCTCTGGATTGTAAGGACCATTCTAAAAATGCTCAAAATAATTCTGGTGTTTACGAAATTTATCCCTCTGGGAGCCTTTCCAGTCCTCTTCGTGTTCTCTGTGATATGGAGACAATGGGTGGAGGATGGACGGTATGTAGTTTACAAAACTTCTAATTTTTAATATGTCATCACTACTCAGTCAGAAATGTACTGACATTCCCATTTTTTACTGAGAAATTTAGACAATCACTGATATTTTACTGCATTTACTGCCAAACTTAGACAATAACTGATTGTTACTGCCGGCGCTGATAAACTTAGACAATTACTGACCCGTTTTACTGTCCCTGCTGAAAAACTTAGACGAGTGCTGACATTAACTAGTAAGTACTGTCCCTATTGCTCTCGCTCTCGGAGAAACTGCAGAGATGTGAAATTCCTTTCTATTTTTTGCAAAGGAGGCTTTAATTTCAATTTCCAAACAAAAAAATGAAGCTTTATAACCCGATGATATTTTTTTAAAAAGTTCTTATGATCAATGTATAGACGATTTATTTATTTAATAAAAAAAATCATGAGGGAAACAAATAAATCATCAAGAATCTTTCAGCAGCTGAGCAATCTGTTAATTATTTTCAGTGACATTTACTCACCAATTATGACATTTAAGGACTCTGTGCCTCTTCATTATGAATAATTATGATTATTTTATTTTCTCTTAATTAACATGTATACCCTATTTTTGTTTAAATGTGTACATAAAAATAAGACCGTCTGTTTAAATGTGCCGTAAGCATTTAATTCTAATATTTGTTATATTTCATATTCATTGATTCGATGATATTCATTGATTCATTATCATTGCCTTTTTAAATATTTATTTACTTCTTTAATCATTTAGTTCTTTTAAATAAAAATCATAGCCGATTTCCATATCTGGAAAATCTGGATTTGCACCGATAGTTTTATTTAGGGCTAATGGATTTCTATCCAATTGCACATACTAAAGTATATTCGTAATTCATACTATTGTTAATGCAATGATTTCCAACGCAGGGCATCTCATTTGGTGCTAAGTAATGAAAAGAAAATGGATAATCTATCTTTGTAAAGAGTTTTTTTTTTTTTTTTTTTTTTTTTTTTTTTTTTTTTTTTTTTTAATCAGTGGTTTGACACACAAAATATCGTCAGCATGTATATTCTAACTCAAATTAATTGAAATGGTACGTACATTAACTGACTTAAAACAATTCGTGCATTTAAAATGAAGTAAAATACTCTCTGAGGTGTTAATTCAATATCTTCAAAAGCTTAGTTGTCACTGCATCTTGAAATAGAAATGTTGTAAGAATCCATATCCCATTTTCTTATCAAATTATTCTGGACAATTTGGTGGTGGTGGTGGTGGGGGGGGGGGGGGTTACGACACATGCAATCTTAAATAAAGATGAATTAGAACTGTTTTCCTCCGGTAGAGCACACGTACTTGTTAAGTCAATACTGTCGTGTACCATTAGTACACCAAGAGTTAAGAGTATTTGGGGCGAAAAGTTTTGAGATGTGTGAAAATTTTGACTCAAAGGACAATCATATGCATTTTTTTTTTTCTGGCAATTTTTGATATTGTTAGAGCGATTGACCTGTCAACAAAATCAATAACATTATTTCATAGTTTCTCGTCTGATTAAATGGTAAGGTATGGATGTCATACTGAGGTGTAAACATTTCCTTAGTTTATGCAAAGATAGTTCATTAGACTAGACACATCAATATTTGTATATGATTAGATACTGTAAATTGAATAACAAAACGTACGAAACAAGTCATATTGACATGTGTAGCAGATTATATATATATATATATATATATATATATATATATATATATATATATATATATATATATATATATATATATATATATATATATATGACTGCCGTCATGAGAAAAGGGTCCTTAAGGTCAAAATTTCACAAATTGACTTTTTGTTAAATTTTGATAGCCTGACTCTTTCTGAATGCAAATATACATCTATTTTTAAAATATCTCACTTTATCAGTATTTTATGAGTATTTCAGTAAGGCCGCTTCAAAACAACGTTGTCGTTACTTTACTGAAAACGTAATGACGTCGCGTGCGTCAAATTCAGTTTTCAAACATTCTTTTAAAACTACACTTTTTAAATATAACCTTAATCGTTTTGACTCATATAAACTTGAGAATTTTTTTCCTCCAAGCAACTAGTATGTAATTATTCATGAGGGAAGTCGCATACTATTTCCTTCAAGGGTGGGGTGGGGGTCTAGACAGGATATAGGAACGGTTTTTATTCAGTCGAAAAAAAAAATAATAATACTTAGTTGTTGAATTCCACATCATACCGTATTCTTTTTAAAATTCCTACTCTAGATCAATTTATAAAAGATATAAAGCACTTGTAATATTAATATATGAAAAAAACTATGTAGATGTCCCAGGAGGGCACCTCGTGCAATTAAAGCGGGGCATCCCCTCGCTAAAGAGCACATCGATCCCGATATAAAAAAAAAATATTTTCGGATATAAGCACGCAATCACTCACCCACATACACGCACGTTACTTTATGGACAAACACCACCAAATGTTTTCCCATAGACTTCCATACAAAGTTAAGCCCCTGTCACTGATACAGATATTGAATTTTGGGCAAATGACTTTCTTGCTGTGAAAGTTCAAGATCTTGCAAAACAAAACATGCCAGAAAAAATATACCGAGCCAGTGCACTTTTACCTTCAAACTCCGTTTGTTTACAACTAGGTGCGTTCAGCACCAAATGAAAATCTCTAACCAAAGTGCATCCCTCCCTTCAAATTTTTACCTGTAACTCCTATATATCTCAAAGAAGCCTAAGTCTTGATATGAGATTTTTATCACCTTTATTTCACTTGTCAAATACATAACAAGTCTTTTCTCTTAATGACCAATCACGCGCCAGGTAGCATTTTCTTCTCCGCTCAAAAATGTCTGCGCCCATGTATTTGTTTATGTAGGACTTCTTCCTTTATCCCCCATAACTTTGTTACGAAGGGATAATAACACCTCATGTATTCTCTGTATCATCAAAAAATTCTAACGGGAAATAAATTCAGATACGCCATATGATGTTTGGACCCCCCCCCCCCTTTTTAAAGTTCCATTAAAAAATCATAATACACATGTAATAATAATAAAAAAAAAAATCTGTCCAGTGCTTCCAAGGGATTTTTTTTTTAATTTAGCTTTTTATTAATTCTTTAATAAAATGATTAAATAATTAAGTTTCCATTGTTTATACAATTCAATTTCTTCGCCTGTCTTTGTTATGGAGTAGAAACATAACAAAGAGGCACATAACGATGTCGAAGGATTGTTTCATGAACGTTTATTCTGTACATGAAAATTTAATTTTTTTGTCAACTACTTACTTTTTTCAGTAAATCACACTTAATTAAAAGCGGTTAAAAAAGTTTCTGTCTTTTTTTATTTTGAGGCGCCTGTGCCCTCGACGCTACTGATGTATCACTTGAACAAGTACCGTTCATCATTTCTTAAAAGGGCCGCTAATCTAAAAAAAAAGCCCTGATATACATACAAACTAAACGGACTTTTCTGAGCGAAATAAAATACAGTTGCATTACAATTTTTATGAAATCTATATTTGAAATTGAAACCGAATATCATGCGAGAGTTAACAGGACCGTAGAACGGGGGAGGGGGGCATTTTTCCTCTTATACGTGCTGGTTCCACGCCCCCCCCCCCCCCCCCCATTTTTGTTGTTGTAATGTGGAGCAATGGTAAATTCCAGGGTTTGTACAGGTAGGTTCTTTTTTTTTACCTTTTTTCAGCTTGTCAGATTATTTTGGGAAGTTGCCCCCCCCCCCCTCAACTCTTTAGTCAGTATAGGTTTGTTTGTTTGTTTGTTTTTGTTTTTGTTTTGTTTTTTTTTTTTTTTTTTTTTTTGCTTTTCAGATCTTTGGAGGAAGTTGCCCTCCCCCGACTCTCCCCCCCCCACCACGAACTTTCAAACCTATCTACGGACCTGCTTGAATATATGTATTTGAGGATAATTAAGATCATCTATTCATCTTCCTCTTGGGCATCAGCTAACCTGACACCTAATCTTCTCATTTATCGCAATGCACATAAAATTATATTCTTAAACAATAATGAAATATTAAAATATTAAAATCCAACACACATGTTTATGCTTTTTTTTGTATATGAGGCGATTCGGTTAAGCAATATCCCATTGAATGTTGGTAACTCTACCACTCTAACTTGAACTTCATGGGCGATCGACTTAGTATCTGCTTTTTTCTTGAAAGCTAAAGATAAAAGAGACAAACCAATTTTTCCAAGTTATTGTTTAAAAAAATAACAATTTTTCAGAATCTCGAAATTAAAGAGCATGACTCTTATTTTTGCCCGTTACCACTGAAATAGAAACATTTTTTTTTCTTTAAAATCAGAAAGATGTGTGTACTTGTTTAATATTTTTCCTTCAGTATCCCTACATCAACGGAACTTTCAAAAAATGTCGAGATATCCGGGGTATCGAGATATCAGAGCTGAGACTCGACGTTCAAGATTTCAACACGAAACGTGACTAATTTATTACATACAGATGTACATGAATACAGCAGTCACAGGCACTTGACGTTTTTAACCTTTCTTTTCATCAGTAAAAAAATTCTCCATAGTATTATGGTATGGAGAATTTTTTATTTATGAAAAGAAATGTTAAAAACGTCAAGTGCCTGTGCAACAGTCAGCCAAAAATACCCTTTTTTAAACATATTTTATGGTTATCAGAGTTTTGCCTGAACCTCCGTTTTTCCGCTCGAAACATCAGCAGTGTTATTATTATTTTTTTTTTCATCTTTATCAAAATATAGATTTCTTCACTATCTTTGTTGTCTTACGACTGTAGTGGTTGATGTTTTTGAATGTTTTCTTAACATTTGAATTTGACACCCATAAACACTTGTTGCTAGTTCTTATTCACATATCAGTGATTTATTCTCAAAAGATGTCGCCATATCAAAATTTATCAGAAGTTTCTAATTTCTTAACAACATAATCTATTGTTTAATCTGTTGTTTCTTTTGTTTCATAAATATTTTTAATCCTAATATCATCGTCGATGTAATTGTTATTTTCTTCAACATTGATCATAAAGCTTTTGGAAAAAGTCCACAATAGCTGTATCTATTATTGTATTGCAATTAAATTTCAAGTCAGCTTTTATCGAAACAAGAAAATTGATAAAATAGTCATTTTTATCAGAAACTACTTTTTTATGTATTTATTTGATCATTTCAAAATGTTTTCTAAATCATAATTTTTTTTAATCATAATTTTTTTTAATCATAATTTTTTTTTTTTCAAAATTTCCTTGCCATCCCCCTCTTCGTTTTTTTTCTTGCTGTTAACTTAGCAAAGAAATATCTAAATGGGGGCCGTTTGCCCCCCCTCTCTCTCTCCCATTCGTTGCTGTAGTAGGAGGTTCGAATCTTCCATAATACCAGAACTATACCCCCCCCCCCCCAAAAAAAAAAAAAGATAGATTCTCTTTTTTTAGACTGAACTTTTACCGACTGCTGTTTTATTAGGGGATTTTTTTGTGTTTTTCAATGATCTGCGATCCAACCCCCTCCCTCCCATCAAACACATTTGGATATCGACACTTCACCCTGAGCTGGTGAGCTGGTCTAACTGCGCATATCGATATTATTAACTATGGTCAATTAAAATGACTAAGTACATTTTACATTAGGTGTCTTATTTAGAATTAAGAAGTGTATACATGCACGTGCATTGCTCTCCCTCTCGCGCTCTCTCTAAAAAAAAAAAATAAATATACGTGTATATGCAGAATACCATTTAATATTAAGACTTAGTGTACTTAATATTAGTCAAATTTAAACATTTGCAAATTGCTCAGAAAACTTAAGCCATGCATCATATATACACATCGCTATAAATCGTCGTAATTCACAATGAGTTCAATGTCGCACTTAGCTTAATTATATATGATATCAATCAAATACCTAAACAGAATAATTAATAAATGCATGTGCTAGTGTGTAATTATATTATTTATTAAAAATGTCCGCATCAAATTTCATATTATTTAATGTTCTTCTTGTAACCCCTGGAAATCCGATTTCATTTTTTTTGTTCACAAAACGCAGTCGACAAAAATTACTTCCGTGTTTACAATACCGCGACTTTGACGTCGTTTTCTGCGCATTGTGACGTCAAAAGATAAGGGCCCTTTTCTCATAACGGCAGTCATATATATATATATATATATATATATATATATATATATATATATATATATATATAGATATAGATATAGATATATATTATATTACAATATCCGTGTGGGTATGTAATTGATTATGCAAATTCGATACATTAAATAGGGAAAAAAATGTACGGACATATTTTTCTTTAAAAAAAATGCTGATATACATGTAACTTCTTTAAACCAATCAAAGCTGATTATTCGCGATAAACCGGCGCATTTTAAAAATTAAAAATTAAGGCACTATAGCGAATTTGTCGATGAGCAGAATTTTGCATCTTGGGGAAACATCTTGGGGGTACCATATATGTAAGAAATGGAGTTACTCTTCTTGTAGAAAAAACATTAATTGTTTCTTCATTTTCTTAATATTATGGAATTACTCGTGAAAATTCATAAAATAGTTTAAGCTTCTTTTTTTTTTATTTACAACAATATCCTTTAAAACAAAATTAACAATTTCAAAATCAATACATGCAAATGCAATTAAAAAAGAACGTCTTATAATTAAACAAAAATCCTGTGTCGGTCGTCTTGACCTACAGGCGTTAGTATGTAATAATTTAATGATATCTGTCTTGTCTATGACATCGTCGTTGCTATAAATTTCACAGTTATGAGTCTCTTTTTCTAAAATAGACTTAACATCGATGGTCGAGCCAATTTTGTCATTTGTTAACTTTACCTGAAGAACATCTGTTTTCGTAACAAAGTCATGAATAAAATATTTTAGCAGAACCAAAAACCAAATAACAGTTCATGATCAAGCAAATTATCTTTCATATAATTCTTGGATTACCTTGATTGGCTTTACGGAGAAAGAGTCGCCCGTGTGGTGAAGTGGTAAGAACGTTTGCTATAGAGTTTCGGTGTAAGGAGTTGATCCTTACGTCGCAGGTTCGATACGTCCTTCGGATGAGACCGTATAAACCGAGGTCTCGTGTTGCAGTAGTTGCTGGCACGGAAAAGATCGCCCACTGCTCAGTGGCCCTGAGTGCCGAGTATATGTCAAAATCTGCAGCCCTCCACCGGCAAGTGGTAGCGTCTCCAAATGAGTGAAAAATTCTCGAGATGTACGTTAAACAAACAAACAAACGATGAAAGAGAGTGACATAAAATCAGTCGCTTCATTAGCACATGCACCTACATGTATGGCGGTCTATTGATATAATTGACACTCTGATATGCAAATTTGCTATGAAAAGAAGGTGACGGAAGGCGGTATGCAAATTTGATGTTATATAGATAATTTTATGTGGCAGGAAAAAATTCCAGAAAAAAAATATGGTACTATTGCGAGAAGGGCGATGAATAAAAGGTGATAATTCGAGGATTGATTGTAGTGTTCTGTTCAAGGCATTTGTATTTGCTTTTTCTATAATTCAAAGTAAACTATTCATTTTTCTTTATTTTTTTTAGAATATTAAGTATATCTATTTAGTCACACTACCTTGAATATTACTTGACTTTCAATTTGGTATCGCGTCTTCATGGAAAATAATGTCAGTAGATCTGGTCCATTTTTTTTTTTAGATGACTTCGCCTATTTCATTTCATGAAAGTTTTTATAGTTATGATTATGATATGTGAAGAACGAAGAATTGAATTTTATCTTTCCAAATAATTGCGGTTAATCTTTGAAGGATTATTCATATTATTTAATCAAAATTACAAATTAATCACCAGAAATTGATATATTCCATTAGAGTTTCTAGAAAAAAAAAACAACAACAGGTATTTCGTCCGTCTTCAGTTATTCGCCTAAATGTTTAGTTATAAGTATTGGTAATCGTTTTACCTCCTAAGACATATGTACGGAAAAGTATAAAGCATAAAAATGCAAAGATGGACTGTGTATAAAGGCTTTCAGAAGGGGAATGCCAGACAAAGCATTACTGGGTTTGCTTTGAATTACTTAACGACAAACATCAACGACGTGTATGGGATAAATTGTAATCTCTGATTTTGTGGTTCAAATGATTAAGATGTATTTGGATGCAATAAAAATTATAGAATTGTCATGCATATGTATCAATTTTAATTTTTTTTTTTTTTTTAAATAAGAATGATCATTAATAAACATTTACATTCTAAGGTAATACAACGACGTTTTGATGGATCTGTGAGTTTTGACAAACTATGGGAGGAATATAAGGCTGGCTTTGGGTCACTGGGACAAGATTTCTGGATCGGTAAGTAAAGTGGGACCTCGTTTATCTGGACCTTCTCCGGTCGCATCTTTTTCTGGATAAGGTTTATTACTAGCAATGTATATTTTTATGTACCAAATATATTTCTGTAATAAGGACGTTTCATCCATGTATAATTTGCTCAGGAGCTTATGCGTCTGGATTAACGAGATAGAGCTTTATAATACTGAGTAAAGTCAGGATCTTTAATTTTTCCAACACATGTGTTATATTGTTCATATTAGCAAAATGTCAAATCTAGGATAGAATAAAATGTATGATATAAAGTCATATTCATTCGGAGACATTCCTCTCAATGGTGTCGATAACTGTTGCTGTTATAGAACTCATTTAAACATGAATTTGAGCAGGAAAAGGACTTATGATAAATGAGTAACAAAAGAAGGCCAATTATAGCATGTACTGCACGTCTGCAGTCATCTCATTTTTACAATATATATTAAAATTTGAATCGTCTTGAAGCAAGCCAATCTTTTCACGGTGCCATTGTTTAGAAACATTTTTGTTTATCAGATTTAACATATACAACTTGATGCAAAATCAAAAGGCACGATTTTTCAAAGTCTAAGAAAAACTTCCCATATCAATACCAGGCAATATTATCAAACACACGAGGAAGTTGTCGTTATTTATGAGAAATTTTCTGAAAGTGGCAACGGAATGAATTCAAAAATTGTGCTACGTCATGTCTATTTTTGTTGGCAAGCAAAAATAAATCACCAAAAATGATATACTCTTTCCGACGTGGCTATTTTGGATTACTGAAGAACTTGATTTTGCAGCTGAATAAATACACTAGTTGAAATAAAAACAACACCCCCCCCCCAAAAAAAAGGAAGAAAGAAAGAGAGAAAAACGCCCAGAGAAAATCATCCATAGATTTACATCTATTTGAAATCAAGTATTTCGAAAATAATGCAAAAAAGGTGATCTTGTAACCTGATGACAGATTATAATTCATGCTACTACACACTCTAGTACGCGTCAATAATTAGAACAGTGAACTTAAATATGTGCATAAGAAACGATAAGCTCATATAATTCACGGAGCAGCTTTGGTACATATTTCTCTTTTGTACATATTTTAAAAAAATAGTTGTATTGCAATACATTTATCAATTATTTTGAATATTCATCAAAACAGGAAATGACGTGATTCACCAGTTGACAAAGGAGAACGACTCATCTCTCTATGTTTCGATAACGCTCGTGAGTAACATAACACTGTTTGAGCTATACGAGAGATTCTCAGTAACAAATGAAACAGAAATGTATCAACTTCTCTTGGCTGGGAATGCGACCGGAACCTTAGGTAGGAGTCATTTAGAATTGGTAACTCGTAACGAACACAGCACTGTTAAGGGGTATTGTGAAGAAATCAACTGAATATACGAGCACAAATACAAACCTTATTACACTGAATTATTTTTTACAACGCTTTAGTATTATCATATTACTTTATAAAATTCATTGACATAACGTAGTTTACCTTACTCTGTACTGAATTTTGTTCGGTCACCTGAATTGATAGTCAAGTGTTAAATTCATATAATGTAAACTGCATGGAGGTCAAAAAGAGGGCATACCCTATTTCAAATTAAAAATTTAAGTGATGAATTGTTTCTACATATCTTGTTACTTGCTGGAAAGTGTTGCTTTTTTAAAATAGAATTCGTATTTTATTTCCTTAAATTTTAGGTATTTGGACTCAAGTTGAAATATGTGTGATCTTTACGAAGTTCTTAATGTCGTAAAGAATTAATACATTCGATTTCACGAAAGCAGCAGCACATTTAAAGTTTAAGAATTTTCCTTTCTGTTTATTCAAGAAATGACCAAGACATATTAAGCGTATCCCTAACAAAAAAGAATACTTTAGTTAACTATAGTTGACTATAGTTTACTAAAGTTTACTACAGTGATAACTTTGACACTTTAATTTACTATAGTGATAACTTTGAAACTTTAATTTACTATAGTGATAACTATGAAGACTATAGAGATCACTATGAAAACTTTGATTTACTATAGTGATCACTTCGACACTATGAGAATTTTGAAATACTATAATGTTCACAATGAAAACTTTGATTTATTAAGTTATCACTCAAATATACTTCATATCGTTGTATTTAAGATGGTTACTTTATATGTCTTGGTTACATGCTTAATAACATTGAATTATGTTATTTACTAATATAAAGAAGGTCAATTGAAATAAAAGCCAAACATTTTATAAAGTATATCTAGTAGAAGTCTTTGAAATGCATTTTTTTTTCTTTTTTTCTTTCTTTTTTCTTTTCTTTTTTTTTTAAAGTATGAAATTAAAAATAAAATTGAATGCAAAAAATGAATTGCATGCAAAGTGCAGGGAATATTTGAAATAGAAGACATCAACAGATATCTTTTGTGAATTGAGAAAATCTGCAAAACTGGATAATACATGTACCAATGTTGTGAAATTAAATAACTTCTACATGTATCACAGAAAATCATATACTGTAGTAATACATTCTAAACTTTTAATTTCCAGAGGCTTCATGTCTAAAACCTTTATAAACCATAATGTTGACTTTGAAACTTTGATGTACTTTTATTTACTATAATGATCACTATAAAAACTTCGATTTACTATGGTTTTAACTATGAAACTTTGAATTACTGTAGTGAAAACTATGAAAGCTTTGATTTAATAAAGTGATAACTTTGACACTATGAAAACTTTGATTTAAAATAGTGATCTGTATGATTCAGTATTGACTCACTATTGTAATCACTTTGACACTATGACAACTTTGATTTACTATAGTCAAAACTTTGACACTATAGTTATAACTTTGAAAACTTTGATTTACTTAAGTGATAACTTTGAAACTTTGATTTACAAATGTTAACTATAGTTAACTTTAGTAAAGTATAGTTAAATATATTTAACTATAGTTTCTTTTTGTTAGGGATACTCCTGCGAAAAGGAGAATAAATGAGACACCTCCTTATTAAACATGCCAACCCTGTACACCACACCCAGTAGAATGAATTCAATATATTCTCTCGAAAATAATATAATATCCTGTAAAATAATGAAATGCATTAGTTACTTTATCCGCCTCTCACTGCACATAAAATGCGTCAAATTTAACGATGATGACGTCATGTCGACAAGTGCTTTGCGACCAGTCACAGGCACTTGTGACATGGAATACCCCCCTTTCCATTTTTTTTAAAATTTTAAATATGGGACATTATTTTCCTTTTCAAGTATTCTAATATTCATTATATGATGTTGTTTCTGTAAACCTTTTGTCACCATAAGCTGTTTATAAATATATCGGTTTTGACTGATACACATAATATAAAGAATGCCTACAATTCTTTTCTCATCGTCTACCTCACCACGTTTAACTTCTCGTGGTTGTATATTTAAAACGTGACAATTCATGGACTGTGCATTTATCAATAAATTTGTTACTCTTTTCTCTTTCCTTTCATACTTTCTTTCAATTTCCAAGCGCCACCGATTTTCAAATATTTTCACAAAATCTCTCACATCCATTGTAAATTTTGTTGATATGCATAAGCTGGTCAAGAAAGTGCAAGACCGATAACTCCGACTTTTCTGATTCTTTACAATGCTTGGCATTATTTTTTTTTCCCGGTCCAGTAATTAGAATATTGAAAAAATTTGATTTCAAAGCCGTATGTTAAATGTTGATCTTCATCCTTCAGAATCGAATATAGTTAAATACAGAAATTACGGTTAATATAAATAGAAATGTATATATATGTAGAGAGAGAGAGAGAGAGAGAGAGAGAGAGAGAGAGAATCTGTGTTCCAGATAACGAAGTTTAATTGTATTTTTCTCAAACTCTGTAGGTGACGCAATGTTGAACTGGCCTTTGGCACCGGCTGTATTGGCTGGAATGTTCTTTTCTACACCAGACAGAGACAATGACAGAGCTTCCTCACGTAGATGTGCCGCGAAAGCAAGAGGAGGGTGGTGGTTTAACGCTTGTTACTCGGTCTTCCTCAATGGACCCTGGGCTTCGTCAGATTGGACACCAGTTTGGGCTCCCTTAGTATCATCTGGGTCAGATGTCAGACAGATAAGGATGATGGTTAAACGTATCTAGGAACATTGCCTATTTTAATAGTGGGAGAAATGTACGAGAGAAAATGGTGATGGTTAAACGTACCTATGTTAGTAACATTGCTTATTTTAATAGTGAGCGGGAGAAACGTAAGAGATAAATCTGTTAGCTAATCGTATTTAGGATCATTTCTTATTTTAATAGTGACTGGGAGGAATGTACGAGAGAAAATGGAGATGGTTAAACGTACCTAGGAACATTAATTATTTTTATAATGACTGGGAGAAATGTAAGAGAGACAATGGTGAAGGATAAACGTCTCTAAAGACATTGTTTGTTATCATAGTGATTGGGAGAAATGTAAGAGAAATAATGGTGATAGTTAAACATATCTAGTAACATTACTTATTTTAATAGTGACCGGGAGAAATGTAAGAGAGATAATGCTGATGGTTAAACGTACCTCGGAACATTACTTATTTTTATAGTGACTGGGAGGAATTTAAGAGAGATAATGCCTATGGGTTAACGTATCTAGGAACATTACTTATTTTATTATGACTGGGAGAAATTTAAGAGAGGCAATGGTGATGGTTAAACCTATCCAGGAATATAACTAATTCTGCATACAAACTAGGACAAATGTGAGTGGGAAAAAGATGATGATTTAACGTTACTGTGGACATTATTTATTTTTGTAGTGAATAGAACAGATGTGAGGAGGACAATAGTGTTATTGTAATGTTACTTGGGACATTACTTATTGTATATACAGAACGGAGACAGATGTGAGGGGGCAATGGTTATTTTTACGTCACTAGAGACATTACTTATTCTGTAAACAAACTGGGACAGATGTAAGAGGGGGAAAGGTTATGATAAAATATCTATAGAGACATCATTTCATTTTTGTACAAACATTTTTTTCTCATGATTTGTAAACATTTTTAAAAATTTAAATCATATAACATTTATAAAAAAAATGTTTGATAAAAGAAACGCTTCTTTTTTGTGGTGAACAGGGGCTGTTCTGTATTTTCCTTTGTATTTGTACTTTTTATTTAATTATCATTTCAAATGAACCTTTTCTAGTTAGAATTGGCATATACGTTTAAAAATACTTACAATGAATAAAAACAAGAACTAATTCAGAACTACATTTTTCTCCTTTTTATTGGTTTATTAAAATATTGATGGTGGAGTTACCAGATGCAGGCACAAAATCAGATAATAAAATGTAGTAACTACTACGTACTACGTTATGGTGGACCATTTCGAACAAAAATATGGAGATCATAAAAAAAATCATCATGCTATAGAAGTCTAATAATGACGGCAAAATTATTTTTACGTGAAGGCGGAGCAGTGGGCACACATTACATTTTTGTGTAGACCTTAGGAGAACTGTCCAATCCAAGTATCTGCTAAAAAAATCAAAAGCAACATCTCTAGGGCTTTAGTTTATCATTGGCATAAACTTTTCTCTGTCAAATTATTTTACTGGTGTGAAAGAAAAGCGGACGGAAGACCATCAAGTATCATTCATTAAACAACACCAGCGATGCTAACGTCAGTACAGCATGGTGCTATCTAAACTGAAAATGACAATATCATTGCAATTCAACATTGGTGTACCATCAACACACACATTTTTAACAAAGTTCTAGAAAAGAGAGAGTTTAATTTCTAGAATGTTAGTAAGTATTTGCAGAAAACAGTAAAGTTACCGCTTCCCGATCGTTTCAATGTGAGAATAAATCAATCACTGGCTTGAGTGACGCTAAAATGACGTAGTGATTCTCTGCTCCAGATCAAAGGTCATATGCAAGTTTATAATTTTACTGAGACTTATGTAATGATACTATTAACTATAAATTCTGCACATTTTGTTATATTTGTTTTGACAAGATGTTGGTAAATTTTCTGAATTCATCTCTGCTCTTTAATGGGTTAAAGAAAATGTCTTAATTATTTCCGAAGAACACTTCTAATTTCAATCATTATATTTCATTTATTCCGAATTTACGAGGGTTGTCCGTAAAGTTCGTGGACAACATTGATATTTACTGACAAACATTGATAAAATATATGAAACTATTATTTTCATTAAATTCATGTTTCAGTTTATTAATATGCAAGTTTTTATCACAAAAAACAAATCACAAATAATTATAATTTATCAGATACAAAAAAAGATACACACTCATACCCGGGGCACAAAAACGAAAATCCTTGACGTTACTCGACATCAAAAGCTAAATACATTTAAGTTTTCTCAACGTATTCACCGTTAAACTCAACACATTTCTTATGTCGCTTCATCCATTCATCAAAAATGTGCACAAACTGTTCTGGTTTAATTTCATACGTGAAATAATATTCAACAGTTCCTGTCTCAGATCCTGCAAATCATAAACCTCTGTCCGCGTAAAACGACTGTATGTACGGAAATACGGCAAAGTCACGTTACGAACTTCATTTTTCTTACAGTACTACAATATGGGAAAGATGGTCTTCCTTCACGCATGTCCTCCAGTAAACTGTCTCTTCCGTCCGAAAATCTTCTGTGCCACTTAAACACTAAAGAATAGATTACTTTGCCATGATTTCCCCGACTGTTTAAGGAATTTATGGGTCTCTGTTGGTGTTTTTCCGATGTCTACACAAAATTATATCAATATTCTCTGCTCCACCTTTTCCGAAAATGTCCCATTTTCGAACAATGGCGATCCTATCTTAATAAACTCTGACCTCGATTTCTCTGCCATTTCGAAACTTTGAACTTTCAAATTTTGCAGGTTTGACGTTATAACTTTTGCCAACCTTATAATATAAAAGCCATCCAAATTTCTGCGGAATTTTACAAAATACAAATGAAATGTATAAAGTGATAAATAACTTTTTTAATTAAAACTTTGTTGTGCTCCGCTCATCATCCCAAGTCAAATAATGAAGTCATAATTGTAATTATACACTTAAAATTGAATAAAAATTTTCATTTTGTAATTCACACATAGTAAAGGATTATAAAAATACTAATGGTAAATATCTGTGACGCAACTTTTATTTAAATTTTAGCTTGTCCACGAACTTTACGGACAACCCTCGTAAATTAATATAATGTAATGGAAATACTTGTAAGTGTTCTTTTTTTTTTTTTTTTTTTTTTTCTTCTTCTTCTTATTTTGAATACTTCCTAGAAATATTTTATTATTGTGTATTTTTTTTTTTTTTTTTTTTTTTTTTTTTAATTTTTTTTTTTTTATTTTACCAACTTTGAAAACGAGATATGTGCTCTAAATGAACTGGAAACTACGATTATCTCGTTCTTATTTTAAAAATACTCCCTGTTGGAAATTACCGGTGGATTTGTAAAAAAAAAAAAATGAAGACTTAAATTGCAATGAAGATTAGCATATTGTAAAATAGGCTTAACATGTTATACTCATGTGCATCCAATGCTACTGGGTTGATATTGGATATTGATAAATGCAATTCAGTAAAACTTGTCTTATCCGAACAGCAGTGCTTCCAAAAAATTATATTACACGATATTTCGGATTTGACAACATTTTAAATAACTGAATTGAAAGGGACTGAAAGTTTACATTGTACTAAGTAAGATTCTGGATTGCACAACATCGGGATTTGACAAGTGTTACTGTATGTCCACAAGACTGCGTGATTATCGAAATCTTTCCACCATCTTGTCAGATTCATAAGGTATATCAAAGGTATAATCCAATATAATTCATTCATCTATCGACATGAACTCCTTCTCATAAAGTAATGATACATGCCTCTTTTCCAGCATATTATATATAAATAATTCAATTCTGGTTATAACGCGGTATTTGATTGGAAAAAAAATTTACTTTATATCGTATAAATTGGGTTGCCTAAGTCACAATGACCTGCCCCAACCCACTTTATACCGTATAAACTGGGTAGCTATCAAATTCATTTCTTAAATAATGTTTGTCATCACAGGTAATAGATGCTGTAAATATGTCTTATCAAACTGTACCTTTAATGTATTGATGTAAGATTGAGATTGAATAAGTGTTTGTAATGGTTGAAACACCATTTCAAAACACTTCAAATAAAACTTTAAATTGTGACATTAACATAGTACAGGTCTGTATGGATTTCGAACATGGAAAATCATAAATCAAATAGAATTTTTCTTCATTAAGTTACTGAATTTGCCGTTTTAAAATTTACAACGTGTTCCTGCCATATACAGAATGCCCCCCAATCTGCACCTTTCACAAGCAGCATTATCAGATAAAGTTACTGTTTTTTTTTTTTTTTAATATCATCGTGTTTGATAGAATATATGTAATTAATTAAGGGTAATGAATTAAAGAAGATGGTTTAAGTGATAATTTAACAATCGAACATCTGTGGAACTAACTAGACTGTAGGGTTTGAAGGCGTCGAAATCCCGAAGCTACTCTCGACCAACTAAGGGCTGCCTTGTCGGAAGGGTTTAATAAAATCCTTATGAGAAAGATATATGCACTGATGAACTTCTTGCAGAGTTGAATCAAGGCCGTGACAGATGAACGAGAGAAGCATAGGAGATAATGAGAAGTTTTGATTTTCACTTTTGGTGGGTACCGTCATATGAGTTTTAATAACTCATGAATTAACAGTCAAAATCATAGGAGATTTTAGTTACTTGTTGATTAAAGATGAATTTATATGTTAGCTAACAATACTGGAAAATTCTTTCTATAAAATAACATTTAATCACTTCAAAACCTTACCATCCGTTTCCTTTTCATTTCGGTATATTTCTAAGCATACACACAGCTGCGCACCCTGGAAAAAACTCAACAATTGCTGAAATGTACGATTAATGTAAGGTTGGGGCAGAAAGGTCACAATTTTGCAAGGAGCAATTTCACCTAGAAATGGTACTTAGAGTCTAACTAAACTTGGGTGTGGTTCATAGAGAGCTAATGCTCTTATATATGTATCAAAAACCTGGCCCAGCAAAGGCATCAGTTCAACAGAAATGCTTTGATTTTAATGAC